GTGCGCGTACACGCACTGCACCCACCCCTTCCCTACCGACAAACCCCGCACCTCACCCCCAACCCCAACCATCCCCTTTGAAAGCACAGTTCAAAATGTTAACGCACGGTGGGGGTGGTGTTTGAAGCAGCAGGTTTTTAGGCTTCGCGTGCGATTAGCAAATCGCGAAGCCTTATGACGAGATCGCGATGTTTCTGCCATCGTGTAACCTACCTGGACCCCTGGACCCACCCGCACGGAGACCCGGAGACCGTCCCCCACACACAAAAAAAAGGTTCGAGTGGGGGCGGGGCAGAGGGGGCCGCTCTGGGCCGCTCTTGGCGACGTCCGGGGCTGGCCGCGCGGTAGCGGAGACAGAGGCGGTATGATCGCAGTGTCTGGAGCTATCTGTGTGAATATATAATGTTCAACATTTCGTTCAACCGATTAGACTTCGCGCGCTGTAACGAGCAGCTAAAACGCCAAACGAAAAGCCTTATGACGAGGTCACGATGTTTCTGCCATCGTGTAACCTACCTGGACCCCAGAACCCACCCGCACGGAGACCCGGAGACCGTCCCACACGCCAAAAAAAAAGAAAGAAAAGGCTCGGGTCGGAGGCGGGGCAGGGGTCCGCCCCGCTCGGTGTTGTTGCAAAGGGCAAATGAATCGAATAAGAAGGCCGTCAAATGTTTCCCAAATTTTGAACCTAGCAACAAATTGCCCAAGATTTTTGGATTAATCATCAACCTTTCACCCCTCTTCAAAAACAGTCAGATGCTTCAATGTGAATTTTGACTGTACTGAAAGACGTTGTGGTTCTCTCCCTCCCTTCACAAAATTATCTTACAAATATAAAAATATGTTATCTGTAATTAAAGGGATCTGCTAGTTATTTTATGGACTTATACCTTGACCCCTGCTTTACCATGATGGTGTTTATGTTTAAGTCAAGGCGTTGCGCTGGCCAGTGCCCACACCAAGTACGCGAAGCCCTTTTAAGCCACATTGAATAATGTGGACTTGACGGATTTTTTTCCCTGACAGTGTTGGAAGCGTGTGTCGGCGGTGGCGTAGCCGAGCGCCGAGCCTGCTTTGCAATGCCGGGGGCTTTATCCGTTTATTCTCTGCACACACATACACACACACACACACACGTACCCATCGCAGCGCCGCCGCCAGACGCTCGTTTTCCCATTCCGCGACGTTTTTGTCGTTATTCCAACGCGATTCTTATTCCGGCCTCATATCTGTTTCGCTGCGACAAACATCTCCGCCGGCGGCCGCCGCCGCGTGTGTCACCCAAAAGGCAGCCCCCCCCCCCCCTTCCTCACCAAGCTGTGTGCCAGGAAAGCAAAGCCTCCTTTTGCTCGCGGCCGGGGCCGTCCTCCTCGCGGCCTCCCTGCGCCTGGATTACCTTACGTACTATATTATTCCATGCGGATCGCGTTGCCCCAATTTCATCAGACTACATGTACTGTCTTACTTCTTACTTTTCTTCTTCTCCCCCTCCTTCTTCGATTCGGCGGGCGTACAACGCAGTATATTATACACGCTAGACGTGTCGCCGTGTTCGAATTTTCATCCCACAAGTTCCCAATAACATACATATCCCAGATTTGCATGGCATTCCCGAGGCCTTCGCGGCGGGCGAGGCGGGCGGGGGTTGAATATCCAAACAACTTGATCTGGAATCCATCATCCCCCTTGGGCCGAGCCGTCAATCACTTTGGCAGCCGCCAGCCTCGCCCCACCCGGCCCCGTGCCGAGGTGGGAGGTGGTGACTCAGCGCGCAGAGCCCGGGCACTGGGCCAAACTATACCGTCATATGGCGTTCACGCAATGCGGTCGGTCAACGACGTTCGCCCGAAAAAGGAAAAACTCACCAACAAAAAAACAACAGCAAAGTGGACTTCTATGCGACGGTCGGGTTGGGGCCCCTTGAAAAAAGGCTGTCGTCCTGGAGATAGCTCCAGCTGGAGAAAGAGATTCCTCCAGCAGACTCAGGCGCAAAGCATCGCGGCCGCCCCTTCAGCAACCCCGCCCGGCCCGGCCCTCCCTGTCTGTCTGGAAGCTCGCGAGGAGACAAAACGCAGGAAGGAGAAAAGGAGAGACGGTAAAAAAAATAGAGCCGTGACGTCATACACAGCGCTGCTTGCTGCTGCGCCTGCATTGAGGGGGAGAGAGAGAGAAGGTTAAAGAATAGGCGCTGTGCGCGGAGACTTCCGGTCGGTAAAAGGGGTGAGGATCGGGCATCCTCATCCTCGTCAACCCCCTCGGCGACAGCCAGGGTCGGCCGCGCCGCGAGCGGACTACTTGGTCGCCGCGGGATCGCACAGCAACCAGCGAAGAAAAGTGCGGAGGTGGTGCTACTGCACTACGCTAACCGGGTGTTTCTCTCGTTATGCCCCGCGGTGGAGTGCTGAGGGCTGTATACCCCCAGGGGCCATGGTGCCTTGAGGGCAGAGGGAGTATAGGCAAACCGGCAAACCCGCGTACACCGGCGTGTATAGAAAGCAACACCGCGTTAGATGGGCTTCGTCCTCGAGGCAATAAGCACACAAGTCCCAAGGACCGGCCGCCGTAAGCGAGCAGGCGCACCTCGCTGCAGGCGCGGCTGAGCGACGCGGTGCGGTACTCGCTCGGGTACTCCTCCCTCTCGGCCGGGACCCTTCTCCTGCTTCTCCGCGCACCGCCACGCCACAGCGATCCACATGACTGCCCGGCCCGGGCCTCTGGCCAGGCCTGGGCCAGCGTGCGGATGTGAAAGGAAAGGATGCGCGATGCATAACAGGTTCCTCTGCTCCTCCTTCAGCAGCCAGTGCGTGGCGCTGCGCCGCCTAAGGGGCCCCGGCGAGGACGTTACCCGCGTGCCAGCCGAGTCGACGTGCAGTTATTTGTTCAGAAGCCACCCTGATGAGTTTTTATTTCAAAGCTACAGGTAAATTTCCGAGCAAACTGTGCGGCGATTTCGAAATTACTTTTTATTTTTCTCAGATCCATACCACCTGCGGCGGGAGTTTCGGTCGTCTCGTAGATTGTCAACTTTCACGACGATTGTGTCTGCTCTGCTTTGCTCCAGTACACATGCACTGGGCACGGCGGCTGAAGCGCACAGCGCGGCAGTCACCTCTGGACCGCCGGCGGCGGCCTCCAGACGACGACACGAGCTGTCCAAACGGAATCCTCGCCGCGGGGCGCGACTCATCGCGGTGAGCACGGCGATGACGAGGCGCGGCCAGCGGCGGCCACCGAGACCGAGCCAGTGCGTTCACTCCGCCGTCGGGCGTTTACTACGCCGCCCCGTAGAGTGGCGCGTAAAACATAGCCGCATCTCGCTCTCCTCTCTCTCTCTCTCTCTCTCTCTCTCTCTCTCTCTCTCTCTCTCTCTCTCTCTCTCTCTCCCTCCTCGCTCTCCTTTCGCCTCCGCAACAAGCCTGCCTCGGTGTTGACGCACTCGTCCTGGAGGCGCACCCTCACCCTCTCC